GACGCACACTCTAACTACTTAGCGTATGATTCACACTATCCGCAATCAGTAAAGTGCGGTACTGTCAAGTGCATTTACGAGCGTGCAAAACCCTCCTTTATCATTAAGGAGAAAAAACATCTGTTCTTGTTTCTAATTGTTATCTTTCTTCTTTCGTGAAGGTAACAAAAACCATGACACCGACCGCCAGCGTTGAACCCCCATCATGTTCAGATCCACCACAGTCCTTCCCCTTCCGAACAACTACGCCGCTAACTATAACATCAAGGCATACGCGCTGTTTTCAAGTTGGAGACTGCGTTACGATCACGTCTACGAAAACCTAAGAGAGAATGCAAAGGCATGACAGACAGGATATCCGACTCACGAAGCACCAGACCTCCGCATTTTCAGAGCACGCCCACAATATCGGACGCTCTTGAACGACGTAAGGTACTTCATTGATCGCGAAGGGTGAAAGAGGTAACCACATACGAAAACGTCAACAAGGACAGTGGAATCACAAGAACACAACAGCAGGAGAGCCATGCAGCAGCGGACCGATTTTTTTACTTACCTATATTTTCTGGATAAAAGGCGCTTGTATCCATAACACCCGATCCTCCTCTTTTACTAGACAATATAGGAGAACGACGTCAAATGCACATCAGAAAAGCACACCATCGCAAGACGAAAACAGTGACGTAATCGGACGGTTGCTCGTAATTGGACAACTGAAATCGGACAGTTACATCAGCCAATCACACCAAGAATACATAAATAAGTCTACTAAGCAGAGAATTAATTTGAGAAACCATAGCAACAAATCACCATCCAGGACTGGAGATTTCTAAAAAAATGGAAGAAAAGGAGAAATTGAACGAGAAAGCGAAGAAGATGAACAGGCTGACTGTTTTAAGAAAAGATTGGATTTACAAGCCGTAGCTTCTTTCAATACTGAATTACATTGGTTTCATTTTTCTCGGAATTTGCAATGGTTCTAATCAATTGTTTGTCGGACTCACGCGTGTAGTCAAACTCGGTCATTTATCTTACTCGTGATTAATAAATCTACTTCTGCTTCGCGGTCGTGCCAAAATTTTTTCTTTTTTTTTTCAGTCGCCCGTAGGATTACAGACCGAATTACCTTATGACCACTACTTATCGATTGGGGCAACTTGAAAAGTAAAGGATCCCTTTTGTTAAACTCATCATGTGATGATGTCATATCAAAATCTTGTTAAAAATGGTTAAAAGAGTCATACCCCAAAGGTCTTTGGCATTTGTAGCAAAACCTACAAACTGAACGCTGAGGATAACTTCAGTTTACTACCCATTTAGACTTATAGATTTAAAGCCAAAACTTGCAAAGTTCATGATGGAGCGTTGGCCGCCAGCTTGGTGGATCATGATCTTTTCGGTTGTCTGCATCACGACCGAAGCATCACACTTCCGAGGCGGTAGTGTAATGTGGGCTCCTGACAACACTGAGAGCAACAAGGTAAAATGTTTATCAAATTGGATATTTCAACTGCTTCTGGCCTTGGGCAGTTAGTGATTCTTTAGTGGGGTACTAAAAAATTTTATTGAAGTAGAATTGTATGTGGTTCTGTATGCACGTGAACTTTGTAAAACAAGACCTTCAAACCCTTTCCAAGTTTGGCAAGTACTGACCATCTCGAAGGGAACTTTAAGAAACAATCACGATTTTTTGAGAATTTTGTAGAGCCATACAGAGATGATGTTTATATAAAACAAACCCCCAAAATAGTTTTTTTTTTTTGCAGTACAAAACAACAAAAGAAGTAATGGTAAATTAAACCCAAAACGCAAGACGTTGGTTAAGATGTCTACACCACACAAACTGCAAATAACAAATTTGAAAATGTGGGTTAAATTTTGTTTCAAGATGTGAAATTAGTAAGATAGCCCTTGTAAGTCAGCTAATATGTTCACGAATAAGTAAAGCACACAGTAAAGTCAGTGACCTTTTCCGCATGCAAAACTAAAATCCAATAATTAAGCAACGGATGTGCTATTATCTGAAGTAGTCACTAGGAAAAGATAATATACTGCTGAAGGTGAATCTCCTGGCCAAGCCTTCAAGCTCCCAAGTTATCTTAAATTTTTCTCTTCCAGCTTCGATGGATTTCCTTTAAGCTCTGAGGCTACAAAATTTTGATGCTTTGTCCAGACAAGGCCCATCAGCTGATACGTTGCTTTATTCTCATAACTTTTTTGCTGACTAGTGCTTTGAGAGCATCGAGTAAATATACTCGTGAAACACTTCCGGGATGAAAAAGGCCAATAGAATTAGCGCTATATTAGAATTGCTATTATGGACTTAGTGCCCTTAGCTTTTTATAGAAACTTTTAGAAGCGAGGTAAGTATCAGGTAAGAAGCACCCAGTTTTTTATTTTTTTTTTAATTGTCTAGATCTTTAAGGATTTCTATCATGTTTTTATCTTGTTTATCTGCGTTTCTCGTGTTTGACATGTGCTTCCCATGTTTGGATAGTTCGCATAGTTTAAATTCAAAGTTTTTCAGGTACTGAATCTGGACTTATCATATGAACGCAGCCGCGCTGACAAGTATTTCTGCACTTGATTAAATTTTTTTCGAAATCTAATCTGTGTTTCATTAGCTACCACCAGAATATAGAACATGCAGAAAGGTGCTACGAGGCTTGCACGAATGTTGGATCTAACACACTATCGGCACTTGACAGATGCTTAAAAATATTCGACAGATGCTTGACAGATACCTTGAACGGTACTTGAATGATATTTGAAAGGTACCTGACAGATATTTGACAGGTACCTAACAGATGCCTAAAAGATAATTAATTGATACTTGGCAGACACTTAAACGGTCCTTTTAGGAACTGTTACTGTAACTAATTTTACTAGTAATAAGTTTCGTCATAGAGATAATTTTTTCTGGAACAGTCTTCCTGAAAATGCTGTCGGTTTAGGGTCTCTGAATGGAATTAAAGGACTCTTTAAGAAGAAAAACTATATTCACTGGCAATCAGAGGCTTCTCACTCCATGATGATGGAAAATAATTTCTCAATTAACCAATTAATAGTCCATTAGCTAGATAGGTGTAACGCACAGTAGAGACAGATATAAGCCAAGCTATTCCCTCGGTACGCAACTAGAATCTCTCGACACTGCCAAAAATGCAAGGACCTAGGGGTCACAACAAACTACGATCTATCTTGGGGTAAACACGTTTCTTACATGGTAAACAAGGCGAACAAAGTGTTAGGTATAATTAGGCGATCACTTAGAAACGATAACCGGTATGCATTTTCTTGCCTCTTTAAGTCATTAGTAAGACCTATACTCGAATACGCTGCCCCCGTCTCGAGCCCCTACCAAAAAAAGGATATCGAATCCTTGGAAAAAGTCCAAAGAAGGGCATCTCGGTTGGCGTTAAAGCAAAAGCGCCGAGAAATGAGCTATGAAGACCGCTGCCAGCCTACTGAATTGGCAAACTTTGGAGAAACGTAGAGAGTTTTTATCTCTGATCCAGTGCTATAAGATAGTCAGTTCTGGGAATAGATAGTCTTTCCATTTTCTGACTTTTTCGAACTTGCTAAATGTAATCGAACTAGAGCCAACCACGATTATAAGCTCTACGTAAAAGCAGCCATTCTAAACTGCTACAAATTTTCTTTCTTTGTACGGATCGTTAATATGTGGAATAATTTACCTAAAGATATTGTACACGCAGGTTCATTGACTTTATTTCGTAACAGATTAAGGATTTACATGAATATTGATTGAGAAGATGGTAAATAGCTTTTAATTATCTGTATATAGTGTTTTCATTTCTTTATTTCGGGGAATCTTTTATATAGGGTTGACCTCTAGATATCCCCTTTTGAGAGATATTTTTGTAACTGAGTTTTGATTTTCTTCTCTTGAATAAAGTAGTGTTATAGGTCGTAATGACTGTCAACATAGCTCAATGGAAACAGAGAGTATGCAAATGAAAGCAAAGCTCAAAAACTAGTGGCCTTTCATACGTGCTAAACATAACTCACAACAGACATCTAAAATGGAAACAGGTTAAAGTTTACAAATTAAAGATAAAATGTCCCGCGTGTAAGCCCTCAGCTCCCCAGATGTCCTTTTATTTTAACTACGTAGGTACTATAGAGTGAATTTAGGGTTTTTCTTTTAATTTTTTTGAAACAATGTGTGAATAATGTACTGAAAGCGTCAGGAGAACTAATAGTAAAACACTTCCGGGATGTTAGGGGCTAATGAAATGAGAGCCACAGTGTAAGAATTACTTTAAAAATTCAGTTCTCCCAGTATTATAAAAGAACTGCTCGAGGCCAAGAAAGGATCAGTTAACAAACAACCGTAATATTGTTTTGATGCAGTAGAGGTTAAAGGGTTTCATCATGTGCTTGTTATGTTCATCATATGCTTGTCATGTTTGTCATGTGCCTCCTATGCTTGAGAGTTTGTATCACTTGAAACTTAAGTCTACGGTCGTATGGGATCCCAAAAAATAAAGGTGCCTCGCTATTTCTCAGTGCGTTTGTGTTTGAAAATTAAAGAATGTTTGTAGAACGGCATCGGCTATTTTCTCGTTGTTCATAGTTTTCAGTTCCACGAAAGCTAAACTTTGTACAGTTGGTTTTCAAAGCTATCCAAATCAGTCATGTCATTCTTGGGCTCTTTGCAAAAAAACGATGGGAAATCATTTTTTTGAGCTTGAG